TGAAAAAAAAAAAAAAACACGACTTGGTGTAAATTATTTATTATATTATTATATATGCAGAAGTTTGTATTTTTATAATGTTCATGCCTGAATTACTATTTTGGAAGGAGGGGTCATTTGTTATAGGTTATAGCAGCAAGTCATAAGGAGGATCACTAAAAAAAATAAAATACTGCTGCACTACAATGGGGAAAAGTTGTAGTATTCACACTTTCAGATGTCATGATATGCAAGTTATTTTTTACTGACAAAGAAAAAAAGTCATGACAAAAGAACTGTGGATTTAAAAAGAAAATATAAACCCAATTACACTACATGATGTAATGCTACAATCACAAGCTCAACGTATGCTATAAGGATTCAACTGAATTTAGGTCTGTACTTGGCCATTCTAGCACATTATTGTCCACTTTGATCTAAAATTGTTGTTCCACCACCAGCTGTATGGTTAAGAGTTATCCATCAGGAAGGTGAAACTCTATACCACCCAAGTCTACTGCAGGGTCTAACAGGGTATTTCTTCTAGAATTGCCATTTATCTGTACAAATTCCTTCCTTTCACTTTGGAAATGGTGTTTTCAGGATGCTGTGCAGCAATCGTTTTCCCAACACACAGGCCAAGAAAAATAGAAAATAAATTACCTTTCACATGTCTGTGTCCTGTGGCAAACTGCAAGTTCTATTTCTAAGGTCTTTCTTTCAAAAATGTCTTTCATTTCTCTACTCTTCTATATAGGGCAGATTTATTGGGTACATGACAAATATTAAAAATGAAAAATGTTTTCCTCTCCCAAAATGTATAACTAATTTTATCTATAAGCTGAATCCTTTTTCTGCATTTTCTGGCTTGTCTGTTTTGGGTGCACTACACCCCATGTTTTTGTGATTAGCTTTTGGTTTGTCTTGCATATTCTTGTCAGAGCCAAAATGCACTGTTCACAGCCCTGATAAGTTGGTGCCAACAAGAAATGTGTTTGAAGTTCTTTGGTTCTATGACAAAATGCATTTGGCACGATGAAAAAGTGACAGAAAACCTAGAGATTGGGGTGTAAATTAAAGACTTTTACTACCTTAATGGAGGAACTACAAAGTTCATCTTTTAAAAAGCAAAAGGGCCAAACAAAGCATACCATGCATAAGAACTGCAGCAAGCAGCAACCCAGTTTTCCTATCATCCATCACTGAGGTACAGCAATTTACCCAAGCAAAGAAGTGGATGTCAAAAATACTGGCAACGTACAAATAAGAAAATGTCCCCAAACTATATAATTGTGGAGGCGGTGGGTGAAAAGATAAACAACTTTTGAAAGTGAAATCCTGCTATTGTGTACGTCAAGGCCAGAGTGCGTGGGTCTCTTCTCTCAAAGTGGAACAAATGTGGGAAGCTAGGTCAGCAGGCACAGGAGACGAACAGTTGTCGCCCAAACGGGCTTGTTAGGGGGCAGAAAGGGAACTCGTCAGTGCAAGAGATCACGGCTGACAGGGAGGCTTGTTAACTTCAGCAAGCTAGCCAGGAGGGTGGCTCATTAGGGAGAAGCACCAGCACCCTGAACAGACCATGCTGGTCTCACCAGATGGCTGCCTGTCTGACTGATGAACATCCATCATTAACAAATTATGTTCATCACAGTTTCGTAGATGAAACCATGTCAAAAAAGATAATTCCAGACTTTATCTTGAGTTGCACTTTGATAGTTTAAAACTTTATATTATATAAAGGAAGATTCCAACTGTCTGAGGTACAGGGGTATATTTTCAGCTCTTTATTTACTCTAAAAGTTTGTTGAAGACGCTGGTATATGAATCATGCTGCAACATTGCCCCCTGCTGGGTATAAAAACAAAGTGCCCTGATTATTCAAGATGTGGGTAAAATAAACTAATTTCCAATGTTTTCCAGTAATACACAGCATGAAAAGAATGCCGTTGTAGCAACAGAAATTGGAAATATATTCACTTGTATTCAACATTTTTATTTTTTTAGAAATAAACCAAAAAAAGAAAAACTAATTTCTTCCAAGGAGAAAGTTGGCTTTTAAATAGTTTAATGAATTCAACTACCTTATTTGCTTAATTTTATACATAACTGGGTCACTTGATTCAACTGAAAATATCTGTGCCCCTCTGACATTTATTGCGCTATTCATTCAAAAAAGAACGTATGTAATTCAGTTTTTTCAGTAAATTTTTTATACCTTCAAAGTGTCATGTTTATCAACTTTAAGGTTCAAATTGATCCATCAGCATACAGTATGAGAAGGAAGCTGAAATACAGGATTTCTGTAGCTTTGCAGAAAAATAAATGATCAAGTGCATTTTCTTTGACGTACGTACATTATCTCTACTCCTACAAAATGCAGGATACTCAACACCAGAACCAAATACATACTGGTTTTATACACAATAGCCTTAGGCAGGGCCAGCATGGATTGAGCCCATGAAGCTCATGCCAACACAGGACTTGCTTGGGAGATTGTAGTGCCAAGCAGCAGTCCAGCAACAACTGAACCACCAATCCATTTCAAACAGAATATCCTGTCTACAAAGTGCAGTTAGTGGCAGAGCTTAACACTCCACTCGAGTTCTCACATAATCCTTGTTGGTCATAGCCAAAGGAAATTAAAGTCCATTATGGTTGAGCTGACAATCCCATACAGTGATGATTAAAGGAGAAGTTCGGTTTTTTACACTTTAAGCCCATTTTCTGTAGTGTCCAGGATGAAATCGAATGATCGACACCAAAAGTTTGACAATTGCTCCTGTCTCTGCTTTTTGGCTCATTTAGAATCACCCCCTGGCTGCTCCAGAATGGCTTGCATAGAGCATGTCCGATAATTTCCTTAAAACAACCTTAAACGTTCTTTTTTTTAAATATGCTACTCACCGGGTCGTCAGCGCTGTTCAATGACGTTCCAAAAAAAGTTTCGTAAAGAAAAAACGTTCCTGTAGTGTTTTATTTAGCATTTTGTAAATCCCATTGAGTTCTGTAGGAATAGTCAATATTCCGCTGCCACCGGAAACGGAAATGGGGCCTGTTTACACAGTTGTAGTCTTTTCGCTTCACTCTGTGTACTCCGACGTCGAGGTGCTAACGTCTCTGTTAAACACTTTAAAAAACTCTGAAAATGGAATACGAAAGGTGGATTCTTGATTCGACGTCGGAGTACACAGAGTGAAGCGAAAAGACTACAACTGTGTAAACAGGCCCCATTTCCGTTTCCGGTGGCAGCGGAATATTGACTATTCCTACAGAACTCAATGGGATTTACAAAATGCTAAATAAAACACTACAGGAACGTTTTTTCTTTACGAAACTTTTTTGGAACGTCATTGAACAGCGCTGACGACCTGGTGAGTAGCATATTTTAAAAAAAGAACGTTTAAGGTTGTTTTAAGGACATTATCGGACATGCTCTATGCTAGCCATTCTAAAGCAGCCAGGGGTGGATTCTAAATGAGCCAAAAAGCAGAGACAGGAGCAATTGTCAAACTTTTGATGTCGATCATTCGATTTCATCCTGGACACTACAGAAAATGGGCTTAAAGTGTAAAAAACCGAACTTCTCCTTTAAAGGGAAGTATCCTTTATTGTTACATATGGGGGAAATTCAGGTTTACCAAAAGCAAAGAGAAATGCCAATAGAAGCCTGCCGATTTACACAAGGCCAAAAAAAAAGTCAGAGGGGCAATTCTGAAAGAAATATTAAAGCTGTATTTATAATGGAGGGGGGGGGGGGTGACAGCCAGGGTGCAAAAGTAGTTTGTTGGACATGTTAATGGTATTAAAAGTCTGGGAAAAGGATATGCTCTTTGGAGCAGCTAGAATGCAGCATAAAATTTCTCAAGCAGCTTCATGCCTGGAGCAGGAGGCATTGTCTAAAACTTTTGTTCTTTTTGCCAGAATTCCATCTACCACCTCCATGGGTGTCCAAGGATAATGCTGGTATTTATGATTAAATTATCCAATCTTCTGAGCTGTACGTGACCTGCTGCTCCACCAAGCAACACCATCAATGACCGCTTGTTCCATCACAGGTTCCACCAAAGGTCTTCATGAGCATCCACTGAACCCCAAAAGATCAGTCTCCATAGCAAATAGTCTACCAACACCAAAAAAGGTACTTAAGGATCCATAGTCTCAAAATCAGTTTCCTGAATTCATGTCGGCCTGGTATATCTGCACCTGCAGAAATCCACCAGCTCCTTGGTTTGTCCTGCTTTGATCAAGATACTGTTCAGCTAGCACCAGTCCAGAAAGTCCTTTCTCTGTCAGTGCTTTAGCATAATTTGTCTCATTACAGTTGAGTTTGCCACATTCCTCAGAACTTCTGTAGACTGCAACTTAGGGAGGTGGAGGGATGAACGGGAGCAGCACTCCAATACCTGAGGTTTAAAGGGTCTTACACTCTGGTATGTCATACTGACATACCCGTGTGTAAGCTCCTAAAGCAAGACATCAAAAGTCTTCACCCCCTTTGTGTCAAATACTGCCACTTTAACATTTAAGTAAGCAAATTGACAGAAATAATCCTGGAAGTAGCAAAATTGCTAAATGTAGAGGTAAGATAAGTGGAGATGCCAAGCTGGCTCAATACAGGACCTAAATGTTTGGAATTACAGATACCATGAAAATGCAAGTCTGTCCAGACTTGGAAGTTTATCAGTGCAAGGTTGAAAGCAACATTTGAGATCCAAGTCCTGAAATGTCTGAAACATTTAAGTAGACATTGGAAGAGTCAGTACAGAAGTGATGGTGAGCAGGAGGTGCAAGAGTTTGCAAAATCGGTCAAATTTAAAGATGTACAGTAAAGATAACAGGAAATTCATCCTGAAACTTTTGGAAGTTTGCAGTACAGCAATAAGGAAGTATTTTTAAATGGTAACATCTATAAAACATTTTCCAAAAAACCCACCATCTCCCAACACTTTGCCAACATAGATTGCATTACCTTTCAGAAATGAACCCAATATTCTCTAAATTCACAGAATGTGAGACAAACGTTTAGGAGTCATTTTGTCATTTATTTATTTTTCTTCACATTATTGCTTTACAGTAAAATGCATTGGTTGGATATGTCCAGTATAGCAAGACAGTACATTCATATAAGTTATACAGATGTCCTCAGTTATGTTTTATAGCAACTAAATTTACATTAAATATATTTTTTTCCATCATTGACAAAAATCCCACATCACATTGAGCTCACAGTGCATTAGGTTGCAATCAAACATACCAGTCCTCTCATGTCAAACTTCCTTCATTAATGCATTTCCTCCAGTGGCTGGCCCCATTTTGTACATATGTCCATAGAATCTGTACTTATGCAAAGTAACAAATATGGCATCTAAGCTTCTCTCCTCCTTGCTCTTTTTGACCCTCCTTCCCCAAAAAGTGATTTTGAAACAAAGGTTTCGATCAGAAACACAGACAGGAAAAAAACTTAAATAAAAAGTGCAAATCCATTATTGTGCCCCGACCTGGTAATTTGTACATAACCAAACAGAGCACGACAAACCGACTGAAAATTGAGATGGACTCAGATAGCAACACCATGCAGTCTTCACAGAAAGCATAAAAAATTAAGCTCTACAAGTCTTGCGCAAAGAGGGTGAGGAGGAGTCTGTAGGTTATGTCACCACCTACATCCCAGAAACAAATCCACGTAAACCCCAGTAGAGTAGCAGTCCAAGGAAGGGGTCCAGCATTTTGTAAATTCCTTAGAGTCAGCTCTGTACAATGGAGTCCAAGGAGATGCCAAGATGACAAGTTTTTTTATCCTGCCCCTCTGCTCCTTCAGCTAGGGTTGGCGAGGTGGTAATGCCCTTTCACAGGAGTGGAAAAAGAAAATAATTGGGAGAAAAGCCTTTTTTTTTTCAAAGCTACTGCTCCAGACAAGTCTGTTATTTTTGCCCAGTTCTTCTGCTTTCACGCACACCTGTGAGCTCACGTATTAAATACTAGACAAACTGACGCCACATCTCCACAGGATGCCCAATCATTTTATGGCAACCTTATAGGGGCCTTTGCCACATAAATTCTTTACATTTAGTTTGCATATACAAGTGCCCTCCACCAACAATATGGCTGAGGAGGATAGTTCAACACTTAAACACTTCATACACACGCACACTTCAATACTCTCTGCACCTCCACTCCTGGATGCCTCGCAGGCATTTTTGCATCGTGTCAAAATGTCTGGATTACAGTGCTCTTAGCTGCCATGTTTGTAAAGTTGGCCGAGCAGTAGCCATAGAAACTGCCCGGAAGCCCTCAACCTTTTACTGTGCTGTGGAGGAGCTTTGTTTTTGTGTCCCAGCATGCACTGCAGACAGATACAGGTGTGCTCATGTTGTTAAAGAGGTTCCAGTCCGTTTTAAAAAGGTGATGCAAGCACAGAATGTGCACACACACACACACCATTCTTTCCCACAGACACATGGACATGTATACACTGAAAGTACAAACGCACAGAAGGAAGCACTAGTTGATTCAGAATGAGAGGACGGCTCTTAAAGTGCAATATCTACATACAACGCAAGAAAAAAAATAAATAAAACATGACCTTTATCTCCACACCCAGGAGCTTTTAAACAGTTTCTTGAAAACTAGTGGTACTGAATGCCTGCTCTTCCATGGTAAAGGGGCTGGAGTGACCCCTGCAGGCTAGATTGCATCACTGCAGCGACCATAACTGCAGCGACCATAACTGCAGCCATCTCCAGGTCATCTCGTAAGGACTGAAAGATTCATCTGGCAGATGGAGACTTAATGCGGATATGTTCAAAGGAATAAATTAAATGGCAGAAGCTGGGCTGTCAACTTTCAGCCTTTTTTACCTCATGTTCTAGGGGTTTAAATAAACAAAGATGTGCAATTAGCTTTCAAAGAAAGACTAGCAATGTCTGCTTTCTGCAACAAGCTCATTTCTATATTTTAAACTAGACAAAACCTCTTTTGAAAAAAAATAAATACAAAAAAAGTGTTTACAAATTTACATTGTGCAATGGTGCAGATGCATAACACCATCACAGCCACTAGATCTGGACTGTGATACAAGATGAATTAAAGTGTCCTGACAAAAGGGTCTGTAGGAAAAAGGGAAGCAGGCAAGGGTGGGGGTGGAGTAAAGCACTAACAGCATCAGCTCCCTGTTGCCTAAGGCCATGCCGGGGGGGCGGGGGTGTTCAGGTCCAAGCTAAAGGAGGGAGGATGACAACCTACCCTCTTCTCTTGGTTTACAAGAAAAAGATTTTTTACACATTAGTCATCTTTTTTTAGGAATGGCTTTACATTTAAATAAAGTTTGGGCTTTAGAAAGTGCTTGATATGGAACATTGTTCTGATTAGGGAAAATCTAAAGTGAGAGCAGTGAAATTAGAAGGGGCACTTCTGATTCTGAAGGTCCACAACATCTAAAGGCATGCTTGATGGGCAGAGAGTTGGCAGGCCTACAGAGACAGTTTGACAGCAATGCCTGAAATAACGAGCAACAAAGGACCACCGCTGTGCGACACCTGGACGATTTAGATACATGACAGGTCACAATTACAGAGCACTGCCTTATAAGAAAATTAGATTTATATTCAATATTAACAAAGACTGCAAGCAAAGGGGGAGAACAAAGAGTTGCCAGGTAAGTGCAGTTTGTCAGGGGGAATAAAAAAAAAAGAAAATGTGAAGGTCGCCAAGGTAATGGTGTTGAGGTTTTGGTACTCGTTGCATGCTGTTGTGCTCTACTTCTCAATGCACATTGGCAAGTTGACAAATGTGAAGACGTTGTACTCTATCATGATGGAGAAGCAGAGGAACACGGCATACAGGACAAGGACATAGACACCCAGCTTGAAATCCAGCTGCCACTTGTTTATGTGGATTCCCGACACCTGCACACACAGAAAGCTAAACCTCAAAAACACAGATCTGGTCAACTGCAAACAACGCAGGACTTATTAAAAACAAATAACGCTTTAACATTTTTGTATTACATTACATTGCAACCAGAAGTGTTGATCAAGACCAGCAGCATCCCTTTTACTTAAATTAAAAAAAGAAAATAAAAAAAAGATCAAGTGCAACAAACTTCAGAAGCGAAACTAATTAAATTCAATCCTAAAAGTAAAGCTGCAGTTGTTGTAGTGGGATAATATTAAACAAACGTTAGAGGGTAGGAATAGATTTGATCAATATTTAAAATAAATACAGTTTGTCTTTGGTTTTAAATTGAACTCATTAAAATGCTTATTTTGTTTATGCATACCGTAAGCGCTACAGAGCCCAGCAGAAGTACCACTGAATACACCAGCCCCCGACTGTTAATCATCACCTGAAACAATAAATAGGAGGGTAAGTAGCCTGTTTATAAAGTCTCTGTAAATCACATTTTTGGATAAAGTGGACAGAAACTATTTTGACCAGTTATATGCTGACCTCTGATCCATAGTTTACACACATAGTCTGCAATGCCCATGGAACCCCAAGCCCCACCAGGATGTCAAACACATTACTGCCGATTGTATTGGACACTGCCATATCACCCAAACCTAAAAAAATAAAAAAATACAGTAGGTTATTACAGCAAGTATAAAGTTTTTACATTCAGGTTTTAGATGTTTTTCTTCAGTCACAAGATGAAGATGGTATCCAAATTATTTTGTTTCTTAACCAGAATTTCTAAAAAAAAAAAAAAAAAAAAACTATAATAAAAATAAAAATCTCTATTAATGATTGTTTTATTAGACAGATTTCCAATGAAGTAATTTCTTTGTGACCAAATAAGATTCTAGCTACCAAAATCTTGTTTCTAGGACAAACCAACAAAATTTGTCAGTTAAACACTGTTAATATGTAGCTTATGGAAAAATCACAATATTGTGCTTTGCCAAATCTAATCAAGACATGTTTATAAAAATTAAATACGTTACTATAACTTTGTCAACTTGGAAAAGATAACACAAGTTGCAAGTTAAATTTTATTCGTCCAAGAGTTTTTTTTTATAATATATTTATCAACCCATATAAAGATGATCAACAGCAAATCATTTTAATTATAAAGTCCTTAGAACAAAATAAATCTAAATTTTAAACAAAGGCTGCAATAGTTGAATGAAAGAACATTTTAGTAGATCAAATGCACAGGAATCAAATGCCCAAATTAAATAAAGGGCCATCACTAAGCATTTGTGGTACATGGTCTCAATTGAACCAAAAGCCTGTTTAACACCCACCCCTGCATGATCACCTTTCCTTAAGATCCATTAGTAGCCATGCCTGCCCAATCAAACCTGAGAGCAGCTTCTAAAATTGAACTCCATCTTCCGAAAGGGGAAAGGAATACCTTGTCGAGCCACGATGAGGCTGGCTATGCAATCTGGAACACTTGTGCCTGCGGCCAGAAACGTGATCCCCATGATGACATCCGGGATTCCCAGGGTGTAACCAATTATGGTGACCTAAAGAGGCACAGGGATGGCTTGGTCAACTCCAAATTCACTCAAATTCAAAAATGTTTTGATTAAATCTTTAGTATTATGATCAGCATTTAATCATTTAAAAAAAAGAAAAAAAAAGTGTTTTATTTTGCTCATAGCCTAGTCTGACAATTGATATTTTGCACATAAATCAATAACCATAAACTTTATCTCAAGAGTTCCTTCCATCCTCAAATACAAATGTTTTTCATAGCTGAACTTTATACCGTTGCTTTTAAAATTTGGAGGAAAAAAAAAAGTTGGTTGAAGAAAAAGGAATCAAGACTTAATTATTTGTTCTAGGACTGCAAATGACGATTATTTTGCTAATCGATTGATCCGTCATATTTTTCCAATTAATAATCAGATAACTTTTTATGAAATGAAACTTAAACTCTTCCACTTGAGTTCTGGATAGAGCTTAAATGCAAAAGTTTTACATATATATATTTTTTTTTTTTACAATTTTCACGTTACTGCTCTAAGTGGGTCGCTCTGTCAGCTAAAGGCATATTCTAGTCCCTATACTCCAGTTAACAATTAATCTATTACTGAATTAGTTGACAATTAATTGATTAATCCCAATTAATCTAATAGTTTCAGCCCTAAATTGTTCACTTAAAAGGGCAAACATTACACAAGTTCTCAAACACATGACTTTTGATTAGCATTTGGAAGGAAGTACACCTGGTTAGAGATACATAATTTGTTGGTTTTGCTCTCCACTGCTGTAGTGTGAACACCATGCTACTGTAGCTTTTATTTAAAAAAAAAAAATGAATAAATAAAAGGAATTCAACGCCTTAAGAAAACTGGAGTACCTTGAAAGGTTTAAAACAAGTCTTAATGGTATTTGTATTTAGCCACTTTATTTTCTGAAAATTGAACACATGTTTAAAGAAGTCTCAAATCAGGATTTAACTCAAGTTCAATAGAGAAAATGTAGAAAAACAAGGATTGATTTTGAACACAGAAAAAAGAAGATGTTTAGTTTAAAAACAAGAAAAGCCTTCTGGGGAAAAAATTAATTTATATCAGAAACAAGACACCTTCAAGAGTAGGAAGTGTCATGGTCTGAGGAAGCTCATCAACGCTATACCTGGGCTTCCCACTATCACAACCTCCAAGACACCAGTAACGTCACCGAGACTGATGTCAGACTGGTAGATTACTACAAGATATTTGTCATGCTCTGTCAGCATAAAATTACATCAGGGACAAACAATCAGGGTTAGGCTGTCCCAATATCTTCCCTCAGCTAGAAAATACATCTTGTTTAACAAAAGAGCTTTTATCGTTTAAATTCTATTAAACATTTGGTAACCAAGATTTAATGCCAGGCTAAAGATGTAGCCTAAATTTTTTAAATCAGGCAGACAAGTTCAAGACCGGTTTTAACCTATTTTTTGAGCAGTAGTTTTGAATATTCACTTAACAGAGGGACAACGGTTTTAATTAATTTTATGCAATAGCAAAATCTCAGCAACTTAAACTCACCATCCAGACCATCAGGTAGGAGAAGACTGCAATCCAGACAGTGGAAAGGATGAACGAGAGCATGAAGAATTTCTCCCAGCGAGGCTTGGCACAGTTGGGGACAGTAAAGAAAAGTAGCAATAGGAGCGGCCATGAGATCAGCCACTTGATCTTGCTGCCCACAGCTCCTGCAAGAGACAACATGGACAATAAGAAAGAGCTGAACTACATTAAAACCACAAATTCATTTGAAATTAAATTTACATTTTGACCAACTCCCATTAATTAAGGGAAACAATGTCGTAGTTTGTTCGTCTCCTTGACATTGTTCAAGGTCAAATTCAAAACCTCTTTTCCGTCCGAATTGTTCTTCCTTAACCCTTTCATGCATGAATTACGATAGTATATGTTATGATTTTTTTACCAAGTGTTTTTATTACTCTTTATGAATGAAAAAAAAATTTTCATAAATTTTTTTTAAAAATATACTTTCTTTAGGGAGTTGGTAACATGTCCACTTGGGTGGACAATGCGCATTTGTGCAACTGATATAACCTTGTTTTGTTTTGTTTTAAAGAAAACTATTGTTACTTGATGGCCCCATATTTTTTTTACCTGCAAGGATCGCCTAGAATGGAAGGAATGAGCAGATATTCCTCTCCCTCACAACCCATGTGCTCCTCTGTCAGCCATTTTGTTTTTTTTTTTTTGAGAAAAAAAAGTCACTTGCAAAGGCTGAGGAGTAGGTGGCAGTTTGACAAGTGGCAGGATGATACATTAGCGTCCACTGTAGTAACATATGTGCAAATGTGACATTAAAACATGTTCATTTAAGAGAAAACAACCATTTAATAACTGTCCACTGTAGTGACCACTGTGCATGAAAGGGTCAAATTTTTGATATTTAAGAATTTCTTAAGACATTGCCAATAACACTGCAAAACCCTTAAAATATACATTGTTTCTTCCGTGTTAAATCGCATAATGTTCAGTGATTCTGCTTAGAGGAAGGTTTATACATCAAGTCAGTTATTTCCAAATCATATGCTCAAATCTAATTTCTAAAGTTACCGTTATTTTTACTAAACTGAAACATGCATTTATGATAGACTAGACTAAATTTAAATATTTCTGGCTCAGTTTGATGTTAAATTAGAACCGAATTGCATCAGTCTGAGAATTAATGGCCACTTTGTTTAGTAGCTGTTATACTAAATTTATAGCATTTAATAACACCTAAAGCAAAAATTAAAGCTATGCAGCCCAGGGCTTCTTGGGGAAAAAAAAAAAAAAAGTTTTGTAATCATGAGAGAATGCAATTACTGAATTTCCTTTTGGGATTAACAAAGTGTTGAATTGAATGACCGTTTTGAAAAGCACATTACTCGTTAGTTTAACATATACAAAGATCTCTCTCGATACACCATATTGGAGTGTAAAGCCAAAAATCACATACTTGGAATATGAAATGGTGAAATTGTGTCATTTTCTTCTGTCTCTTTGGGTTTGTCCTCTGGCACGTTGCCATTCTCAATTTCAACCTTTCCGTCCATCACTTGCGTCTCCACACCATTGGCGGCTTGCACCAACTTCTGGCGCTTTCAGAAAATAGAAACTTAGTTAAAGAGCACACAAGCACAGTTCATGCTTTACATTTAGTCAGCTGTATAGACAAAAAAGAAATTGTGATGAACATGTAGAATAAAATTATCTCTCTTCTGGAAATCAGTCTTTAGCATAACTGCAACAACTAAGGTCTGCTGTACCTCTGTGATGATGAGCCGACTGGCCATGCGGAGGCGGGTTTTGGGACCGAAGTGGCTGGTGACCATGACACGGAGCCCAGCCTCAGGAAACCTAAACTTTGATGGGCTGGCATTCATCATCTCATCCACCATTACCACTGAGCCACGGCTGTAAGCTTTGCTTGGCTTGACTGAAGAAATGAAGGCAGACATTCAATTTTATAGGGTAAAGGAAATAAAAAAGAAAACCCATAGACTAAAGTTATTAAACCTAAATACTACAACATTACAAGCCTTAAGACAAACGTTAACATAGTCTGGAGACAATTTTAAATCCATCTATAAGAGCAGTGTTTCAATACCACAGGCTAAAATAAAACTTAGCACTAGAAAGTTGCTGGCATTTATACTCAAAATGTTACCTTTAAATGGCGGCAGATCTAAAAACATGTGAAAAGCTTAGTAAATTTGGAAATAAAGGATTCAGTCTGTTTAAAGCATTTGTTAATCTGCCATAAACGACACCTGGGTTTAATATTCCGTTTCAGCGAGGTACGAATTTGCTTGACTGTCTAATAGTATCTTAAAAGCAAAGTTTACCTTCAGGGACATAACTTATAAAATAAACTTTTATCTCCCTTTGAGAAACCTGGTGTAGTTTATCAACTTATTAACAACAGCATTGTCCTTCATGCCATTTTGTTCTTTGCAATTACTCTACATTTAGATATTTAGTCTTTAGAAACTACTCATTTACATTAGCAGATTGACTTCTATAAGGAAACCAAACATTTAAAATCCAGTTTAAAAGCCTTTGCCTGTTCTCCACTCCCATCACTTGGAGGGTTGAGTTAAAAATGTATTTTCGTACAGAAAGACATCCAATATCTACAAACCTGAAATACACCTATAAATTGAGTGCCATAGATAGTCTGCAAGGGTGGCAAGTGAAGGAGTTTGTTGTTTTTTGGAGTTATTTTGCCCATTACAGAATTTGAATTTGGCTTTATAGAGTTGGATCCTAAGCAGCCTTAATTCTGCAACATCTAAATAGAATTTATGCCAAGGCTTCAACTATCCAACTGGGCCATTTAGAAGCAAAATTGCTGTAGTTCTTTGATTATTGTGCAACTAAATAGCAAATGTGACCAAGTTTAAGGTCGCACAGTGATTAGTGGATTTTTACCATTTTTAAATCATTGCTAGTAATCCATGTCCTTAACTAATCTCCAAAACAGATCCTCCTTTAAAGCAGTAAGTTTGGAGCAAGCTGGAACAAAACCTCTAAACCTTGTCTGCAGAATGTCACTCAAGTCTCAGGGATGATGAGGCTGCCAGTTTTAGAGGCCTTTTTTCTTAACTACATAGAATTACTTATGTATGCTGGTGTGATCCGTTTGTTTGCTGACTCATGAACCAGTGGTCTTGTAAATTAAGCAAATGAGGCTTGTTTCAGCTGTTCTTGTTTTTGTTACCCCATGGATGGGTCATCTGTATGTGACAATTTACCAAGGTCAATGATATCATGGAAGGTTCCATGGTTTTTAACCAACTTTCTGTATATAACAGTGGCTCTCCATTTGATTCAATAGAATACCAAAGCTATGCAACCCTTTAAAAAATGTACATCCTAATAATTCTTAAACTTTTAGTGAAAGCATTGCGTTTTGCGTTGAGATCTTTAAGCCTTCACTGATTTTGAATAATTGCAATTAAAGTAGTTTCCTAATTCTTAAAAGGTAACTTCATTTAATTGTCTAGAAAAGCTTAAAATAATGACACTTGTAACCTTAAAATGCAGATTAACACTAAACATTGAAATTTTCACCTCAGTTTTAGATAATGTTTTGAAAACTGAAACTGTATTTACAGTTATTTATTTGCAGGAATAGGCTATGAGTTTACATGCACTTGGAATAAAAATGTCTGCACTATATTAGTTTAGCCCAGCCTTAATTTAACTTTTTATGCAAGCACCAATGCACATAAATTAACAGAGTAAACAGTTCCTTTTGCGAAATTCATTACCACATCCGGACAGTATAGGGCTACACTCCATAGACTGGCAGGAGAAAAGCAGCATGCTAGCAGAAAAACTGGCACAGTGCAGCACATCACTGAAAGAGGAAGAGGGTTTAGTAAGGCTAAACAGACAGGCATGTTAGCAAAAAGGTAGTTAGAGCTGAAAGAGTTCCTTCTAAAACAAGTATGAGTTTTTTTTATCCTTAGGATTAGTAGAAGAGGATAGTCAGGACTGTGGCTTAGAAGTGTTATAGAATCATCCATCAGTATTAGCACAAAAACTATTTTTGTTTTAGTTTCAAGCACTTACAGCATACAGAAACCAAGTATAAATATTATACTTTAGAATAAACAAAATGAACTAGATGTACAGCCATTTATTTTCCATTATAGAAACGGCTGCAAGGAATTTATATTTAGAGAGACAGGCTGGGGGAAGGTCTTTGGTAATTGTTTTTTGTAGTTCAAACTCAACTTTGGGTCTTTAGGATATGTAGGATCTGTAGAAATAGCTGCCCTTCTAATCCTAGACCTGAACAAGTTCAGAATGGAAGACAGATCAACAGATCTTGTGTACAACCAACGGTTTATTGCAGTTTTGCCCCATCCTCTAATGGATAAGCCAACCACCACAGTGATGGATTAACAAAAAGGACAATATGACCAACAGCCTTTGTGAAAGCTGACATGGGATGTAGAGTGTATGCTGGAACTTCTTCTGAACAGTGCCTATGTGTTAGAACCATCTCAGGTCCTAAAAAAAAAAATGGTAGTTCCTGGGAACCAGAAGTGATCTACAGTAGACTGTCATTAAGGGTGGTGAGTGGATAAAGTCAGTTTTCCAGAAGTACATTGACATCTCAACATCTTGCCAGGTAAAATTCAGGTGGTTCCAACTGCAAGAGATAAGCCAATAATAATCCCATCTCAGAAAAATGACATCTGTAAACTTCAGAAGTTTTACAGACTGGTCTCCTAAGGGCAGCCATTTGTGTACAGTGAGAAAGGGTAGTGGGGGAAGAAAAGAAAAAAAACACCCCTGGGCGAGAGTGGTGTTGATGGTTGTGCAGGGGAAGACTTCCAAACTTACCACCTGCTACCAGTCAGGGAAAAATATGAAAAAAATGCCAGCATTGTGACCAGGGTGAATGCTGATGGTGCTGAGGACCAAGCTTAAGTCCACAAACAGTCCACGCACATCTCTCTTTGGTCAGCCCAAAGTGACTGCTGCACCACCTACAGTTTGCATCAAATGCCAGCCGCTTAAAGAATTTGGAATCATAAATGGCAAGGAAACAAGTCTGGCATTTTTAGGTTCCTTGGACCAGGACAACTGTAGAGCTAGTTTAAGATCGAGTGATGCTATACAGGCTAAATATTTATTCACTGTAGGCCTACAGAGCCTTGATTTACAGGTGGATCCATGTTCCTACCCTCATCTATGTTCATGAGTTGTGGATCGTGATCAAAGGAACGAGATCACAGATACCAGCAGCTGAGATAAGTATACATTTTTTTCTCCTTCTGCACAGAATGCCTATGCTCTCCCTTAGAGATGGGGTCGGAGTTAGAGCTGCCGTTTCTCCATGTTGAGAGGAGCCATGTGAGGTGGCTCGGGGATCTGGTCAGGATGCTTTCTGGACACCTCCCTGGTGAGGCATTCAGGACATGTCGCACCTGGAGGAGACCAAGAACACGCTGGAAGGATTGTTACTTAACTGTCTTGGAAATCGCTAGTGACTAATTTGACAGATCTGAGCTGTAAAAGCCCAAGGGAAATTAATAAGATTCTCTGAGACTTTCAAAGGCTGCACAAATGTTGTATTGAGGCAGCCATCTATAGTGTCATCTTGGAATTATCGATTAAATAACTTTTTTTTTAAGGTGCAACATTGAAATGAGACTTTGTTGCATAGAATAAAATCGGTTCAAAGAGATGCATTTCAATTGGTTTTACAATGATTTAAGCAAGTGTATGCCCAGTTACTATGGCTAGAGACACCAAGTTCTTTCATGTTGAACACAAGGTAATTGCTTTTAAATTTCACAAGAACTGAAGTTCAACAAGGCTTACCTGAAATATTGTAGAAGCCTCTCAACTACATACAGGTGCCTGTGAAGGGCTTATTGTAATTCTTTTGTTTTAAAAAAAAAAGCAAAATTGTCGTATTGAAATCTTTAAGGTCAAATCATTAGCACAAAGCACTGGTCATGCCAGTATGTTAGTTTAGCAGGAAAAAAGCAAAGCCACAGACCCCTCAAGAGAAGAAGAAAATTCCATCATGTCTTCATTTTTGCTAGATAAACTAAGCCAATCAGTTGCGCCCCAGCCTGTCTGATTAACCTTACCTGCTGAGAGTAAAGGTGATGATGGGTCATCATCCCAAATATAGTCAAAACAAGCATTACCATCCTCCATCTCACTACTAGTCGCAGCGTTACCATTGGCCACATTTTTTTTGGACTTCCCCATGAAAAACCGTTGCATGCTGGAGTTGAATCTAGGGGGGAAAACAAGAAAGCAGAATAACCCTTTACAAAGGTCCCCCCAGTTAAAGCAATTAAGAGTCTTAAAATGTCTATTTGGGCTCCATATGTGCAATTACAAATAGAGCAGTTTTCAACAAGACGGCATTAGCAATATGAAATAGAAAAAAGGCAGAGATGTGTTACTCTGTATTGGAGCAGAAAAGAGAAAGCCAATAAGGACTGTCCCAGAAGGTAATTGCAAGGCTCTTATCCACATTTTTACAGACTATTTCAGTGTCATTACATAAATGGAACAAAGGCTGAGAAACTATAACTGCCTTTGAACATAAACTATGCAGAGGTAGTATCTGGAGTGATAAAAGAGCCAGTCTATTCCTTCTGCAACTTCAAAGAACATTACAACTAAAAACATCTGACTAGATTAAAGAACAAAGAGACAAAATTCTGTGTAGGCATTTTTTTTGTTTTATGCACTCAAAAAGGAAAACTGATTAAAAAATGTAATCCACAGACATTTGATATCTCAATTTGTTAAGATCACCTCTGAAAAATACTTTTGATTGAGAGTGAAGCAAAACAATTAAACACTGTATATTTACCTGAAATTTATATCTAAATGTAAAATGGGAATGTCAAGTTTGAGTTCTTAAGGGCAGATATCCTGCAACTTTTAAATATGTCCCTGATCCAAACACCCTGAATCAAATGGCTTAATTACCACCTCATTTAAAAATTTCTCCAGAGTCCTGCAACAGACTTGATTCAAGTTTGTGACAATAGACATCCATCTAAAACTAATCTACTGTCTTGTAAGAAGAATCCTAAATAAGAAATGATGGTGTTTAAACTAGGGGGGGATTCCAGTTCCTGAACGCTGTGATCCTGCAACTTTTAGATACTGTATCTCCTTAGTCCAGCTCACCTGAATCAAGTAATTGGATGATTAAGAGGAGTAATTCATCTGTTTGATTCAGGTGTGTTGGGCCTAGGATGCATTGAAAGATTACAGGATACCAGCAAGAACTTGTATCGTCCACCCCTTTAAAGTTATGGCAAAGATTTCCTTTTTTATAGTTGTACAGGATGGATTTCAAAACTGAAAGGTACAAAGAAGAGGATTAAATAGATTGTAAATTCTTTAATAAATTGGGCTTTTGTTAGACTGCATCATTGGGTCCCCAAGTGCTTGTATGGTGGTGTTTTTTTCCCCCTCTTGATTACCCTATGTCGTAGGGGTTGGTCGTTTTTTTTTCTCTTGATTACCTATTTTATGAAATTTGGGTCAAGTGAGTTCGAGAAAAAAAAGCAGTGAAATCACCATTAAACCACGCGGAGCTATAGATGAAATGGTTGTACAAATATTATGGGAAATTTCCCATTTTCCAGACTTCCTCCCTCCCACATCCAATTAATCTTGACAGATTATTTAAGCTCAACCTTTTGTGGTGCACGGTGCATGTGGAGGGTGTCAAAGACTGCTAGACAGCTGTCAAGTCCAACAGTTTATGGCAGGGTTCCTCAATTCTGTTCCAAGATCCAAGGTCTGTGCTTCCACACCTGAATGCAGTCAGGTTAACCAGAAAATTTGCCTATTACTGTACGACTTCTACCTTTAGGCCATGACCTAACATTTCTGGATTACCACAGACTGGACTTGCAGTATGAAACAACTTAATGTGCATAGTGATCACTGTATCACTGAACCTGGATTGATTGTAGGGGCTAGAGAGGATGTTGCCATAAGTTGGCCTATTTTTTTTCAAGAGAACACAAAGTACATATTCAAAACCGACTGCTGTCCTTACACCTAAAATATAGCACCAACTTATTGCTATAGCAAGGGCTGCAATCTGTGCTCTACCACTACAAGCCTTTTATCATGGGCCATACAATAAACTTTGCATTAAAAGTTCTGTTCACATATCATTATGACTAGTGAGAGCGTCAGCATCGGACTCAAAAGTTCAGAAATATGATACTGAAGACAAAAACACAGGAAAGGTGAGCCATCCCTCACCGTCTTGATCTGCTAATCAAACAAGAAACCAGAGTAAATGAAGGTAAGAGGAGAACAAATGCCAGAGGCTGCAGAAACACCCACCCAATTTGAAGTAATTCTCACCTATTTTGCATACCCAAATGGAAAAGCAAATGACTGAGGAACCGTAAGCCCACATTACATGCGATACATCATTTCATAGCCAACACCTTCTAGTTTCTGAAAATATAAGTAAAAATAGAGCAAGTTAAACACAGCCTAAGCAGCATTAGTTCAAACAGGATCTAGCTTTCATCTCCACATATCTGAAGAGGGAGGGGTGGAGCATTATCTCAAATCAGAGCCCCAGACGGACTGTAACAAACCACTGTGCTCCATTTGGATTTGAAAGGCCCAAAATGCGCAGCAGATATTTCAGGTTAACAGAGACATGACAGCATGTCCTACTGTAAGCATTTATTCCTCCAAATGAGAAAGGAGAGGAATGATCTGGTTAAGCCTGGTGCTTTTAGCCACTGCAGAGGGAAAAAGATTAAACTCTTATGGCAGAGAGCGAGCAGGCTGCTGCTGCTGAGTAACACAGATTACCAGCTGGACAGAGACAGCAGAAAAGGACAGCATAGTTCACATTATTCAGTCTGGACTGTAAAAGACAAATGGGGCTTAATGGAGTGCACCAACGGTCATCAATGAATGGCTCGACATATGGGAAAAATAGGAAATAAAAATGACGTACAAAGTCATTTTAAGTCTGACCTCTGGCTGCTTTGTTTGTAAACCAGTTTTGGCTCTAATACAGAGTTCAATGATTTTTAGTGAACTTACAAAAATAAAAAAAAAAAAAAAAAAAAACACTCCATCTGTGCAGAAGGCAGAAATGGGACAGGCTCTCACAGCTCAGAAAATAACTGCTCCTCTTGTGAAAGCAGTCATTTATACTCATCAGCTCACAGGTGTTTGTGAGTGAAGAGTCAAATAGACTTTAAAAGATTAATATGCCTAATCTAGCAAGAACCTTAAATGAAAATGGGTAGAACTCACTTCATGACCAGGATGTAGCCAGCATACATAATCACCAGGATTAAACTCTCCCACCTGAAGGAGGAAAAAGAAAATGCATTTCAATAAAGCAAAGTTTACTGGGCGGGGAGCAACAAATTAGGACATATCATTGGTGTTCTACAAATTACACGACTAGAATCTTTCTAGTCATAACCCAAAAGAAGCTTTTTAAGGTATTAAAGGGGGTTAACACTAAAAACTAAAAAAAAATGCATTTCTAATGTTTATGGTTAATGATAAAGAGCTAAATAACCAATAGAATTTTTGTTAAATTGTTTGGGGACAATGAGTGACATTTTCTAACACATTCTGGATGGGATATTTAATAAAGGCAGTTTTTAAAATGGAGAATTGAATTTTGGGTAGTGTGTAAAAAGCATAAATATTAAATTTTACTCAAACGCTAAAGCAACTGAATCACATCAGAACTGTAAAGATTTTAAGGTGATCCGACTTATTGCAGCAGTTCGTTTTGACATGAAACAGTCACTGGCCTCAAGGCAGAGCACCGTAAAAAGCTTTGACTTTTATCTCTTGAATAAGATGCACTAAAAGCACCCATTTTTTCTTTATCTGCAGTAAGTGGCAGACGTCCACCTGTTTCTGAATGGCTGAGCTTACTGAAAGGGTAGCACAGTTTCTGCACTCTTAAGAGATTCAGCTATTCATGTGTATGACTTGAAATATTATCAGTCATGATTAAGTTGCTTAATGCAAGGTTAAAGTTCTGTGTAATATGCACTGAAAAACGCAAATTATATCCAAGTAAAGTTCAAACATCCAATCCATGACATTACTTATTGTAAAGCAAAACATACACTGATAAAATGGTCTATGAAATAGGCTGGTGATCTGTTAAATTGTCAGCAGGGGTGTTTATGTTTATATCTGCATTAGATTCTGCATTATCCATCGTCTTTTCTCCAAATTCATGTGCACATTTTATGATTTGTGGATTTTGGCCTCTTTTTGTGGTACATAACTTCACTTATTTGAGCTTGTTTGAGCTTTTTTTCCAATGGTCTGAAAAGCAGTTTACATTTTCGAATATAACCTACATTGGTTCAACTACTTACCAAACAATCTTCTCATCATAGATGAACTGGGGGAAAAAAGTTAGATTCTCGTTACCATCTGCAGTCCCATCAGAATAAGAGTAAATTTATATATTGACTGAAAATGTTAACTTACTGCAATCAAAGCTATGACAGACAGGGTGTAGTAGAAGGAGTCCCTGAAAACAGCCCACCAGGTCAGCAACACCACCTGAGAATTTACAGGTCAAAAGAAAGAAAAGTTTTATTCATTGTTAAACATTAGGGTGTTACAGTGGCTTCAGGACAAAATAGTGAACGTGCCTTTTTTAGTTTTTACATAATTAATGATGCAGGAGCAGAAAAGTAAAAAATTTATATAAAAAAATTTATACTAAAGTTCCCCTTCCTCTCAGTTTCTGTACAGCAGGTTCAAGCCATGTATTTGCTTACAACTTAAGCAAAAGTGGAAATAAGTGGGGGGAATAAAAGGAAATCCATTTCTGCATTTTTGTTTTAAAAACTGTTGAAAGGTTAAAACTTAATAAATTTTGCTTGTAAAGTAAAATTGATGCTGAATTGTTTATTTTTACACTTTTGTTATAAGTCAATTTAGGGATTTGGAAAAATGAAAGCATTATAGTAATTTAAACAATGACTAGAAAACAGTATTCCTAAAAGGGAGAGAGCACGAACTACAATGACTCGTCCCACATCAGTAATAAATTCACAAAAACTCATTTTAAAAAGTGAAAGAAATATTAAACATGAATTTGAACTGACAGTAATATTAAGGCAACTTTAACAGACTTTGCTTTCTAAAGCTAAATCAGTGCTGAAACTTTGGCTTTTATAATCTTATAAAAATATGGGACAGTTCTTTTGAACTAACTTAGTTCATGATTTCATAAGCCTTTGTTTTTCCTCAAAGGAGTGCAGCACATGTGCTGCTCTACAGTCTATAAATAAACAAGATGATGCAGGCTCAGCAGTAAGTCCCTCGCTCTGACTCACGCACCTGTCCGGCAAAGATTCCACACACACCAATGATGCAGAGGATGTTGAAAACTGCTGAGCCGACGATGGTCCCCACTCCCACATCACCATGGGTGATGAAGACACCTGCACACAAGGAAGGAGCTGCTCAGAACCAACTGAGACACAGACCATCTGAGTCTGTCTGCATGCATGATCTGTATCCATGAGTCTGTATGAGTGTGTACCAATGACAGATGCAAAGAGCTCTGGTGCAGAACTGCCAGCTGCCATAAAGGTGGCTCCCGCAACATCTTCACTAAGGTCTAGTTTCTACAATATGAAGAGAAGAATTGTGAATTCATCAAATATTTAGGAAGAACCTAAATGGATGAAAGCCTCCACAGTACCTCACAGATCTTTTCCAGCGATGTCACAAAGTATTCATCACAAGTTATGGCAAGAGCCAGGAACATGTAGAGAGTCTGCAAACAAAAGTCAAGAAAATACATGAAAGATTAAGTAAATGCACATATGAATAAATCTTTACTAACTTACAAAATAGGGAGCCAAAAATATCCTGCTGATGAACAACAAGTGGAGGGAACAAAACACTTTACCAGATTAGAGAAAACCTACATTAAAATCAGAGGTAAATTATTACTGAAGTCACAATTAGAAATGGATCATTATCCTGCCAGAGTGAGAAAGGAGCGGAGATACTGCCCGTTTCAGCTGCTGAGAAGAGCTATAAATTATAGATTAGTCATGACATCAGGGCTGATCAGCTCTCAGATGCTCTGCTCTATGCTATCCACAGGGGGCACTGCAGGACTGCGGCATCAACAGACTTTTCACAGTTAAATTAAATCCTAATGAACAGTAAACCAATGCAACATTATGCCACAGGCTGCATATTTATTCCAAATTTTATTCATCCTTTAGAATTGCAGACATGCAAAGATTTGAATCATAAATTTTGAAGACCGAACAATGATTGAATTTCCGCATCGATGGCCGATTACATTTTTAGCAACCCAGGAATCTCACATACATTTGCTACATATGTGTTGTCTCACATTGTTACACCCACTAGAAAACTAATTTCTTATATTCGTCTTTCCCCAATATGGTTTTATAAATAATTTCTCTCTTTTTTGAATGTGCCATTTACATACATTCATAAAAAAAAAAAAAAAAAAAAACTTAAGTTAATTAGGATATATAAATTTAAGTTAATTTCAGATTTGGAGTAAATTGTGCCCGTTCCAACTCGTCATCACACAGAACTTTAGATAAAGTCCATTCAATCAAACTGGACAGTTTCCAAGTCAACCTCATTATATCTTGCCAATCAAACTAATAACTTGTGCATGCCATCACTTAAGTTCTTACCGCCACAATATGCAGCAGGACTGCTCCACTCTTTCGTTCGTTGTTGGTGAAAAGGTCATCCGGAAACTCATGTATTGCTAAGAAGAGAGGAAATGTCACGGTCACAACACATCAGCAGCATGACTGTAAGGTATTCATGTACCCAGCCCACCCCAACAAAGTTTGTGACCACACGATGACCAACTAGGAGGCAAACAGCAGGGGCAGTTTGACAGAGCAACCCTTCTCATGTTGATAAATTCACACAAAATAGGCAAAATATTCATTGCAATCATTTAAACTGCTGTAAGTCAAACCTCAGCAACATATACAAGGAAGGAAACAGTGGCCAGACTTTAGTACGGGAAAAAGCTTGAGCAAAATTTGGAGTGAAGCCAAAATTGGAAGTGAAGTAGTGACACATTAGAAGTAAGGTAACTTCCAAAGAGGTGTTCAGGTAAGAAATTGCAATACAATTGAAGCATAAAAGCATATAAAAAAAGAATGAGATACCCTGAGGAACAGGACATGAAAACACCATCTCTGGGAGTTAGGGGGAAGAGTCCGGTTTTATGCAAAACTCAAATTCTGCATACTTCCAAGCTCTAAGAGACTTAAAAGGAAAAATATTCATAACTGAACCAGCAATATACCTTTGATTCTTTTCCTTGTGAATTTCAACGTTGTAGTAGTTATTTTTGGTGTCATTTGAACAAATTCCTGTGACATGCCAACTGAACTGAGAAAAAAAATGTCAGACCTGTACCAGTACAGTAAGCCATGATATCAGATTAGGATTCAGATTGTATTAATCTGAAATTAAACCAAAGACAATATTGTGCTGCGGACTGATAGGTTTCCCCATGTGCTGCGTGTGAGAATATTCATCTACATCAGAGGCAGAGCCTGTGGCTTTCATCCAGCAAGCTCCATATGGTATTAAACCTCCGAATGAAACAGTTTGCAGGCACAGCAGGTTGTCATCAATTAACAACCAGTGGGCATGCCAGCAATAGTCAATACTTCAAAACTGGTTTAATTCCAACAACATTTAAACCCACAAAACTTCAAAAGCTTTTGGATCAGATGAAAAACTGCACACATTTAGTGGAACTAAACAGATACATTAGTTTATTTTTTTTGTTCAAAATCTAATGTTTTTAATGTCCAAGACAAGAAATGCCTTAAAATCTAGAAAAATAAAATAAATCTTGTCTTTATTCCTACTTTATATCCAGTTGTTCAGGTAAGAGAAAGAACATTGGCAAAAATATTTGTGTAACCCAAGGAACTTAAACTAGTCAGAGATAAAAGCAATGTTTAAAGCAAGGTTGGTTTTTAATACCCCATGCTTCTTAAATGTACATTTAGTGATTTAACTGCATTCCATGATATGATCAAACTATGGCTCCACTGCAGCACAATGCTAACCCATCCACCTAAACTGAACTGACAGGCCAAGTAATGGGAGGCTTAATCAGCTGACAGGAAAACCCATTAGTCCTGAGCTCCACAAATCCGGTATTTATAGAAGAAAGGGGAAGGGGGAAAGTAAAAAAAAAAAAAAAAAAAAAAAAAAAAGACAAAGAAAGTCACAAGTTGTTGTACTGGAAGCCATTTAAGAAAGAGCACTGTATCCAACAGGTTTAATTGCCGAAATATAGAACACTGCAGCTTGTGCAATCTATACTTTGCAGGACATATAACCCTCAGGCTTTTAAATCAGAACATCTAAAATCTGTCCAAAAAGGCACACTTCTTTCTACATGTTTAACATGTCTAACATGTTTAAGTACAATTTGAATAAGAATGTAGCCATCTAAAAGGTTACAAAACCTTTGCATGTCACTGCAATCTCCTTTAAACAAAAGTGGTCATTAAAAACTGTTGTCACCGTCTGCTGGCAATAGAGGTAAAACCAGACAGGAACATTGCTTCACTCTTAACAGGACAAGATGTACACATAAATTTTGTCAAAATATTTCACAAAAGGAAATTAACTGGAAATATACTAGTATAATGACAAAATGTGCCGGTCATTTTAATTATCTGTTGAAAATGCATTTATACAGTTTTTAAAGCCTGCATTGATTACTGATTAAGGGAAAAAAAAATTATATATATTTCTATCAACCTCACTGCTAAGCAGGAGAACAAGTTTTTCTTTACCTTCAGTCCGCTGTATTGTAGTTTTTATGAGATAATCATTCTTTAAAATAAAATCAATTAATGGTTTCACTTTATGTGAAATGCTACAAACTTCCAGATTTGCATAGATAAGTGGGCACTCCATATTCCCACATTTGAGAATTGAGAAAGTCCTTTCAAATGATTGGAATTTTTTCCAAATTGAATAAGTTGATTTGACTAATTGGTTTAGCATATAAATCCCTTATCCAATTGTACAATAGTATATCTATATCTAGATGTATACACCCTGTGCAATGACCCTGCATAATAATCCTGCTATGAAAAAAAAAAAAAAAAAAAGCCATCATATGTGGATGCACTGTATATACTGTGTATATCCCATGCACCTTTTTGTTCCTTTGGCACCTTTTCTTTTGATTTGAGCTGATTTAACAGGTAAATTTAACCACTCTGAGATCAGTAAAGACAATCATTCAATCAATTTGCAGGCGGAAAGCACACCTCAGGGACAACTGCTGTCAATTAACATTTCTTTAGGAAAATAAAATATGTTACAGTTTCAAGTTGTACGATTACTCTACTGCACATCATACTTAAACTCCATTTCTAAGCTCTACTTCAGTCAGAAGCAAGCCATCTTAATACAATTTTCGACCCCATATTGTCTAGTCGAATTTATATTACCCCTCCCATTTTGGAGCAGTAACTGCAAAGTTGTAAACTCTTTACATCTAACGATAATGTAAAGACACGGTTTAGAGTGAAAGGGTTAAATCTGAAGTCATCACTAAAAGCAGACATTTTACCGAAGTGCACAGACTTTACTTGATTTTCATTTCTACAGTTTAACACCCTATTCAATACAGTCGTTTTGGTTCAGTTTTTGCACAGAAGAGAAACCTTCATTAAGAGAAGAACTTCAGTGAATTAGACCAAGACACTGCTGTTCAAACAAAGCAGAGTTTATTAGATATGATCAAGTTACTAAAGTGTTAAAGTTTATTTAAAGAGGATGTCAAAAAGTTGAAAAATAAGTGGCCAAGTACACAATCAACAGAAGTTTCTCTAAAAAGTATATTTTAGATTTAGTTTTCACTTAATAAAGCATGAGCATAAAATTACCATAATCTTTTCATCATGTAAAAAGAAAAATGTATACAAATCGAACTTGCGTTCTAGATTAATATGATGCATAAATGACAGACTGTGCCACACATTTTAAACTTGTTTGCAAACATCTCATACTCTTGCCAAATAACATTAGTGTTTTGTTACAAGGCGGCCCTCAGCATCTGGTACCTGCTGCTGTTCAAGAGAGAGGAAAGGGGGAAACAAAAAAAAAAAAAAAGAAGAAAGCCTGGCAGGAATGTGCATCAATACAAGTGTCCCCCCCAGCAATGCTGGTGGTCTAAGCATAAAAATCCCATGACTCAGACTGATGCTGCCATACAGGCAAAAGGTCTGCTTTCATAACCTCGCCTAAATGATGAGGCTAAACAGAGAGAGAGAGAGAAGCAGCGATCTCATCAAATATTATACAACCAAATAAAAATGTGACATGAGCAAAATGTTTGTCGGCAGACTGCCCGGTGATGCCCTCTGCCAAAGCTTTTGACCCACAGACCAGCCAGGTCATTAAATACAACTGACAATCCACTACAGCAGTCAAGTGACTTTTTGGAGAGAGTGATTCCTCTGGGCCATTATTAGCCCATTAGATAATTAGCCTGCTCCAGAAGGCATCAGTGAGCAGTGTAATATGAATGCAACCGTCAGCTATTCCTGCAAACACGCAATCATGATTCAACTTATGGGACCCTCTCTAGGTCATATGAAAATTACTAACATTTAACATCTGTTCTTTATGACATCTTAATAAAACCTGTAAAACATATGGCAACATAAGGACCTTAATCTGCATTATTACACACACCAGTGGACATTAATTAGAATACCTTTAAAAATGCATATTTCAGCAAATCCGTTATAGAAGTAAAATCTTAGATCTCACAACTTCAATTTTCAGATGTTTTCATTTTCACTTTTATAGTTTGCAGATGCCAAAATATTTCAAAATGCAACTCAACTGAAAATTGTACTGTATCGAATAGATTCTGAACAGAAAAAGTAAAATAATCTTCAGGGTGTTTTCAAACAAAAGAAGCACCTTCAGAGTTTAGCTCAGACCAGTTTAATGACCAACAGAAACAGACAAAAACATTTCTCTGGACCCTGAAACTTTGATTCCAAGCCGATACTCTTCCTTCAAACTCTGGAGCCTTCATGGTTTAATAAAATGCTAACATTTCCTTTGAAGAGAAGACTTCGGGACATTGACCTTTTGACACTGGTGGTTCAGGAGTGGCTTAAGGCAGACCGCTATGAGCAATGTCTTAAGCTGTATACAAAAAAGATCCACTTTCCCTTTTGGGTAAATTTCAGCTCCAACTTCAGTCAGAAAAGTGGAACAAGATGCAAAATAGGTGTGTATAAATGCATAAAGAGGTCAGGCATGCTAAAATAAATTTGCACAGAAAAGTTTTCTGCAGGTGTTTGTTCCTTCCTCTGCAGCATCATTTCCATTGTTGGCTTGTGAACAAAAAGCAAAGTCAGGTCAGTTTGCATTATGCAAGGTAGCATAATCACAATCTGTAGGATTCCATTGTTAAAACGTCCATTTGATTTTGTCATTTAGGCTAAAACAAAAATTTGAAACTAGCCTTTATCTTCTGAAAAACCAAGCTTGTTTTCAGTTTCAAGTTTAGGGAGGAAAAAAAAAATCTCTTCACCTACTGCACACTTTAGCTGCAAATAAAAACCATTTCTAATTCTTTTTAATGTCACAATCATTCTTCCATATGCATCCCAGCCTACATTTATACCTACCTAAACAATAAAGGATATTTTTCTTTGTTTGGCTTCAACTCTGTACCTTAAACAGGGCAAT